AACTAGGGTGTTTCTTATCCGAGTCCTCTTCCGGATACCTTTCTAAGTGTAGGAAAGACATCTGTGGGTGATTCATCCTCGCCATTTCTGACTGGCGTGTGTCCGTGAGCTGCCTCGTTAGGAAGGGGTGCAGTTAATGTAGGGTTTGCCGTACCGCTCGTGTCCCTTGGCAGGCTGGTTTTCATCTCCTGCCTTTGGTGATTTTCCTTTTTTGTGCTTGGGAGGCTTGTGATCTTTTGAGGACTGTTTGAGAAGGCAGTTTTCCACATTATGAAGATTAGCGGTTAAAGCAGCTCGTAGCATTTCAAGATGGTGCGTTCTGTGATGTAATGAGATGTGTTCTTGGTCTGAGCAGGGAATTAATGACTTGTAATTTGCAGCTAATACAAAATGAAACAAGCAGACGCCAGATGTAGGACGCTGAGCCTTGCCATTTAATTAAGGAGGAAGTAAAAGTGAAACTAGGGTTAAAAGCCCTGAATAGACTGATTATTGTTACAAAACAGCAAACTGATGGGTACATATTAGAGATAAAAAGAGCCCAGATCACTATATACTATATCTGTGTGGAGTTTGCAGTGCTTGTAGATGACAGGGCCTGAAGGTATGGCTTGGGCCAGTCTTGTAATAGCTTTTACTGTTAGGAAGTTTATTGACTTTTTCTTTTATGCAGCCACTTTATTCTGTAACTTTCAGCTATCCTGCCTGCTATCTGTATATTCAGAGAAAAAAGTTAAACTTTGATTTGTCACAGCAGTTTATGGTCTTTTTTTTTTTTTAAAAATTGTTTTTTAAAACAATAATGATTGGACCTTATGGTCTTTTTTTTTTTTTTTTAAATTGTTTTTTAAAACAATAATGATTGGACACGAGACACATTTAAAATTATCTTTCAAGCTTCTAAGCTTCTACTAGTTAAAAACTGACTATTAAATAATTAAAATATCAACACAGAGAAAGGGAGTTCTTAGAACATTAATAAGGAAGTGAAAATCAACTAGAAAATAGGAACTGTTTTATTTATTTATTTGTCTTTTGGACCCAGGAAAAAAAATCATACAGATTTCTTAGAAAAATGTTCTCCCTTGACAAGTTTTCCTATGCAAAGAGGGAGTCATACAGTTATGTTTTATGGTTCAAGAATTCTTTGAGGTGATCTGCAGGGAAATGACATTTTTAAAAAAGTAGCTGAGTAGGAGAAGCTATTTATGTTCATGAGATCCTTAAATATGAGTTGAAGAGCTTCAGTAGCTGATTCTGGTGTGTCTATGTCTATGCACAAATTGTGATGTCAGCATTACTAGTGTAATTGGTTTGAAAGTTTTATGGATAACAAAATACTTAAACTGATTAAAGATACAGCCACTTAAGTCGTTTGTATATGATGAGATTATCCCAGCAGTTAAATAATGACTGAAAGACAGTAGATTTCGCTCTGTTTTCTTTATGCTTTCTTTGGTTCAGATTCGTGCCATTCTTAGTCTGTTTCTTTGACTGGAGTTTGTGTTATAAAATTCTGCAAAAACCTCTTTAGTAGGTATCATTGTAGGGCATTGTAAGCTTATCTGTCCAAGTTCATTAATATTTGTGTGTTTGAAGATATTTGCTTGATTTTTAAATGATTTTATTTTAAATGTTGGAAAGTGTTAAGTGACTTTTGTACTTTAGCATAGTCTATGTTGTAGTAAATAAACCAGAAAGGTAATACTCAAGACTTACACAGGCACATACTTAATATGATACGTAAATTGCTTAAGCCAGCTGGCTCGGCTGTAACTCTGGCTGCGTTGCATGTTTTATTCCCTCATCCAATATTCTGTTTTCCCAATAAACCTTTGTGCATCTTAATTTCTTGTTTTCAGTTTTACACTGAATTAAAAATCAGTATTTGAATCTAGAATTCCTGTCCTATAACAGCTAAAATTTGCAGTGCAGTGGACTGCATACAGGATAAAACTGACAGGAGCTTAAGAAGCCTTTGACTATGCCCCCTTTTTTTTCCTGTAGGGAAAAAATAGAGGAAGAAAGAATTAACGTTTTTGAAAAGTCACAATAGAAAGGCATGGTAGGTTTTGTCTCTTTTCCTCTGTATACATGCATGTCTACATCCTGTGTACTAACTTAATTTCTTGGCTTCCTGAATGGGCTTTGCTGCCTCAGGATATACAAAACTTAATTGTATGATTGTGAATTCAAATATGGTCTTGTTTGATGAATAGGTAATGCCCTTATGTAAAATATATTTTTTTAAAAAATCATAGAAATAGCACCATCCCTTCACACTGCTCATAAAAGACATTATTTATTAATCTCACTCCTACAAAGAATCAGATCTGATAGCATGATAAATTACGTTTGGTATCTCCCCTTTTACTAAATAACCCTCCCAAGCACAATCTATAAAACTCTGAAATATATTCTATAGTGTTTTACACAAAGCTCATTTAAACAGAGTCCCTGTGAAGCCTATGCAGAAAGATTAATTCCTTCCCTGTCAGTGGGGGAGATTAGAATTTTCACTAGAGGAGACTTGAGAATCCCTCTCCCTGGCTCTGTGGACCTTCATATCAATCTGTGTATTTCTGTAGCTTTTGACTTGAGTCCAGCTCCAGTAGAGTTGCTTTGTGGCAACTCTAGCTCTGTGGCAGTGAAAGCTTATACCTACCTTTGGTTTAGAATGAGGTGATTTAAAAATCCAGCACCCCAAATTAAGACAAGAAGCATGTATTTGTAGAACAGGTCTGCTGTTGTGATGTATGTTGTTAAGTATGGTTTTGTCCCTTTGGGTTTAAACCTGCTTTTCCTTTCTTCAAAAGCTTCTGTGCTGGTTTAGCCTTCATTGTATTCAGCCAGAGCTGTGTACCTTGTTCTGTTTATGATCTGATAACCTTTTTTTTCTATATAGGAACAAATTATTTCCACTTCACACCTTAAATGTAATTGCACTCACAAATTTGTCTTTTGGCTAGATTTCATAGGAGATTGGTACTTCACAGGCTTCTTTATTCTTTTTGCATGAAGGCATATTCAGTCATATTTCCCAGAACTTCTCTAATACAAAATGGAAGTCCCTGTTCCTTAGATGTCCTCTGCTGTTTTTATTTTCTTATGATCAAAGGTTTAGTTCTTTGTATTCAGACGGAGACTAATTGAAGGTGCGAAAGCATGCCGACAATAATTAGGGTTGAGCTGCATGCTGAGTTAGCATAATGCATAACAATTTCATATAAGACTGTGTATGTTAGAAGCGTTTAGTTATAAATTTGGCTTACATTAAATTGCAGCTCATTTTTATACACAATATTAGAGAGTGTGTGCAGTAAAATGTCATTTAAGCATCCTGGGTAGTGGTTCTCAGGTTATAAATAAGAAATGTGTAAGTATTGTTTTGCTCATCAGGTTTTGGTGAGTTGATTTCTGATGCCATACTGGATTAGATGTTTTATACAGATGTATGCACTGTGTATTACATATATTTGTGAATATGATGTTCCTGTATTAAACTGTGGTAAAACCAAATTCAGTGTTTCCCAAAATTTTCTGTGTTTTCAGATGCCACATTATTATAAAATGAAGCAGTGTACTGTACAGCCTTTTGTGACAAATAGCTATGCCTGTTAAGTATTGTGTTGCAGGAGATCATAACAGAAAGGGTGATTTGAGTGTATATATACAGAAGGAGCAACCTCCTTTTTTTTTTTCTTTTTCCTTTAATATAAGAGCACATTCTTTGGCTGTTGTCATAAACTGATGCTTATATGCATGTTCCTTATAGCCCTTATTCTAGATTTAAGTGGTTGTAATTTTTTTTTTTTTTTGCTTTCTTCTAGAACTAGACTTGTTTCTCTACAAAGTTTTAATACAGTTTAATTCATTTTTATTAATTTTAAATGTTAAATTATCAAAGCTTCCCCAAGTGTCTTCATATAGATGTGATAATTTATTGCTTTTGAAAAACGATTCCTACTTCATAATAAATGTATACTTCCTGATACACTCAAAGATATTTATATCTTAAGTATAAAGGAGCAATTCCTCAATTCTTTTCTTTTCATTATCGAACATTTTTCTGGTGACATGGAAAAAGGATGAAGTGATTTCTCTGTGTTCTATTTGTATTTTTACATTGTTACACTTGTTTGTCACTTCAATTACAGCATATATAAAGTTACCTGAGTTTCTAAACTTCTTTGGGTCTTCATTTGCGTTTGTTAGAGGTGTTCATAAACACTCAGAATTTCTAGCCTTAGTGTAGCAGGGGAGGTACTGACAAAATAGCACAGGGAAATGTTTCTTGAAGGGTTGTGTTATACAAACTGTTTTTTCCAGCTTGAGACAGCTGTTGCAACTTCATCAAAACAGCTGCATGTAGACCTGTAGACAATTGAATGTCTGTATGTAACTGTAGAACTACAATAACAAATGTAAAATAATCTTAGGGGGCAGTTGTTACTTTCAAAGTCTGTAGTGATAATAGCTTTTGTAGCCCTTGGAGGAAAACGACAGTTCCTTCTTACTGGAAATGGTCTATTTTTCTCATAATTGACTGACTGATCAACCCTTTCAGAAGATTGGATGGTATTTCTTCTCCTCAAGCTCTAGGTTGTCAATATTTGTAAAGATAGTTGTAGATCAGTAGTGTTTGCAAATAACTATGTTAGTATATCTTTTATACACTAGCGTCTCTATTTGCTTTTGTACATTCTGGAGATGCAGCCTGATTTTTCAGTGCTCGTTAGAAATTCTTCTGCCATATTGTAATACAGATTTTATTTTCAGTTGTTGTTTGGCTTATGAATTAGTGCTAATACTAACTCTGGAAACAGAAGCTGGAAAACTTGAAACACTGTGAAAGTTGTGCAAAAATATCATTACATTCTGAACATACATTTCAAAATCGTATGTTTTAATGACTTCTTAAAGGAAAACTTTATTCAGTTGTAGAGAGTTGCTTATTTTATTTTTACTTCTGGGTTAACTAGTGTACTCTTCTTTTTCAGAATGTATGAAAACATGTCCACAATGGTGTATTTAAAGGAAGAGAAGTTGGAGAAGCTCACTCAAGATGAAATCATTGCCAAAACTAAGCAAGTGATTAATGGACTAGAGGCACTGAAGAATGAACACAATTCCATTTTACAGAGCTTACTTGAAACACTGAAATGTTTGAAGAAAGATGATGAAACTAATCTGGTTGAAGAAAAATCAAACATGATTCGAAAGTCACTGGAAATGCTGGAGCTTGGCCTTAGTGAAGCACAGGTAAAATTGTGGTAGAAATAAAGCCTTTCAGACCTTGAATGAATTTTTGGTGTAAAAGAAATAAATGAAAGATCATTTTTTGACCTCTAATTGGAAATTTCGAAGTAAATAGAGATCAGTTTTGAAGGACTTATATTTGCCTTACTGAATATTCCATGAAATAGAAACTGACTTTGCTGAAGAAGTAATCAAACTTTTCTTTCAGTTAATTCTAGAGAGTAAGATTACAAAGGATTTTAATTTCCATTCCAGAATGTTGAGTATGTTGACCCTATTATCATAACTTTCCTAAATACACTTTCTGATGTTACAAGTGTCACTGTTTGAATAGGCCAAGTAATTTAAATCGTTAATGATTTTGAATATGTAAATAGGTAGGTGCTGAAGTCTGGAGATTTGGACTGGTGTTAGGAAATTATACCTGGAGTTTTACTTTACCTTTGCAGGAAAAAAGTAGTTTCTAAAGGCTTGGTGTATGTTTTTGAAACCTGAAATATCAGCTAAGTACGCTGTTTCATGTTAAATATTTAGTTTAAAAAACACTTCAAAGTAACTTTGTTTTAAAGAAACATGAAATTGAGGTGATGAAATACTAATAACATGGGCATGTCAAACTCATCTAAAAGAAGATTTTTGTCACTACCAGTTGTCCATTCTTACAAGGTGTGCGTCCTGGGATTGCTATCAGCTGTTCTACGTGTATCAGTGGGAAGTAACATGAACAGTGAAGGGAGAGTATCTTCAGTATGTGGTGGCTGTCTTGCACTTAACAAGCTCCTTTTTCATTTAACTTTGCTTAGGGGAAAAAAAAGAAAAGCCGAGTAGATTGCTTTTATGGCAGTTCTGTTTCTTGTCCTTAATGTACCTATTCAAACACATCGAATGTCTGCATACTCAAGCTTATGATATATATTTCTAAAGTGCTTACATAAATTGTGTTTTGAGTTGTGCATTTAGATCTCAATAGTATAATTTTTCCTTTGAAGTACTATTGTTGTGCTGAAGTGTTCATAGTGTTCATCCTCATGAACTGTAAGCATGTAAATGAATCCCTTTCTGTCTGAAAGCTCTTAAATTAGAACTCAGGTTATTTTTGTGATCCTTCAAGTTAAAAGTATTACTGCTCCTTTTTGTGTTAGTGGAACAAAGGTTTCCGTTTCAGTAATCTAAATCCTAATCCAAATTTTTTATATTAAGATTACATGTAATCTTCAGGGAATTCTAGAACAATGTAACTTCTAGTAGCATCCCGGAAAACAATCATTAGTAAAGAGTTCCTCTAAGCTAATTCTGGCTGAATAATGTTAAGTTGAGAGGAAAAATGAGAACCAGATATATAAAGGAGAGAAATCTGAATGTTTACTAGATTTCACAGCTGACATAGGTTTTAAATGATAAAAGGCTTTAACATTAAATGCAGAACTGCATTCTAGAGGAAATATGTATGTCACGTGACACTTTCTGCTTTTTAGGTAATGATGGCCTTGTCAAATCACTTAAATGCAGTTGAATCAGAGAAGCAGAAATTGCGTGCTCAGGTTCGCCGGCTGTGCCAGGAAAATCAGTGGCTACGGGATGAATTAGCCAATACACAACAGAAACTACAGAAAAGTGAGCAATCTGTGGCTCAGCTGGAGGAAGAGAAGAAACATCTAGAATTCATGAATCAATTAAAAAAATACGACGATGATATTTCACCATCAGTAAGTAGCTGTAGACTAAAAAACACCTTACGTTTACCTGTGTGTTGTGGTCTGCCTAGTTACCAAGAAATGACAGATAGAAGCTTTTTATTTGTCTCTAACATAAACTTGTCATTAAAATGCTTACCTTGTACCAGTGTGCAGAAGGATTTTGAGAGTTCAGTTCATTCTTACTTTAAGACAGTAAATGTTTGACTCCCAGTGTCACATAGCGTGCAGAAAGATTTTGAGAGTTCAATTCATTCTTACTTTAAGACAGTAAATGTTTGACTGTCTGTAGATAATAAAATACATATCAGTCAAAGTCCATAAATACTTACTTAGTATCATATTATCTTAAAAAAAATTAGAACTGAACTTCAAGCCAGAAATTTCCTGCTGTGAATTCAACAGTTAAAATAAGTGGGAAATAAAAACTATTAGGGATTGTAAGTATATGGGGGAGATGATTTATTTTGACTACAAGAAAAATACTTTATTTTTGTGTAGTGAAATCAGTGTGTAGCTTTTAGATCTGCTGAGAATTTACACTGGGATAGGATGTTATTGAATCCCCCTTTGTGACCTCATGCCAGACATCGTGATCGTCTGCACGTTTTCAGTTGTGTTTAGCTTGCCCATTGTGTTACGTATTCCTAGATTCAGAGAGAAAATGGATAAAATTTTAATTTACAGAAGTAACTTATCACTAAAAATTACTTCTGAATTATTTGGCTGCCTTACCCTTTTGTTTTGTTTTCTTAAGTTAGATAGTAGCGTAGAGAAATGTCTCATTTTGTGTGTTCTGACCTTCTCAGCTGTATCTTGGAAATAACTGTTTTTCATAACCAATTATTTCAGCAACATAATGGCTGAAAATGTATGCATTTTAATCATGCTTTACTGACTGCTTGACTAAATCCTTTTTAACATATTGTGATTAGTGAGAGTTGTTTTAGTCAGTTGCACACGACGCATTTCAGTGTCTTTGTGTGAGTTTGTAGCTGAATATTGCTTGTGAAGCCTGTTTAGAAAAGGGGCAGAAGGAGGGAATAGTGGAATTTTGATATGCTAACTGTTGAACTGTAATCTGCAGATGGCCTAAATAGCACCATTATTTGAAGTTTAATTGGCAAATAGAGTCAAAGTAAGCAAAGCATCTTTATAGTTTCACTAACCATATGGACAGTCTCTGTTGTTAGCCTTTGAAAATAGTCAACTGTATATACTCAGTACGAGGTTGGAATCAGCACACTTAAAATTTTGGACTTCCCATCTGAGATCTAGTCCCATCAATCTGCTGTTTTTGCAGAACACCCACTCTGCCACCATTGAACTTGAATACCAGCAGCAGCAGTTGCTTTTTTCTCAGCCTTTGGAAAAAGGTGTTGGATGGAGAGCCAGAAAAATAGGAATGTGTTCTACTCCTGGGTTTTCTCCTTACTGAGATTAACATTTCTGAGAACTTCAGCTATTTATAGTGTGTAAACTCCACATTTAAGAAACAGGATTTGAGAGATTATATGTTTTATTTTACATGACTGTGGGACTTGGAATAGTCTTTAGATGTTTAAAATCAATATACACTGATGGATTGTGCAGAAATGAATATTGTTTCAGATGGAAACTATTGGAGGTGAACTTCCTTCCAAGTGTTTTTTTTAGTCTTGAGCCTTACAGATCACAATTGCAAAACCTATTGTTTGTGCATAAGTTAAGTACTTAGAAATTGAGATGATAGAACTAAAGTTGCTGGTGCAACTTTATCCTCCTTCAGGAGATGAATTCCCTTATTCCTCTGTCCACCACTATATTCTATATTTAACTGTGTTTATGTCTAAAAAAAGTGCAGTGGACAATTTTATATTCAGTAACACTTGCTCTTCACTGGGCACTTTCATTAGGTACAATATGTCTGTAAGAATAGCAAATATGTTCTTGTGTGCTTAAATTGAGGCTGAAATCTAGGAGACCTGATTTCTATTCCTGGATCTTCTGAAGGTGTCCTGTATTGTTTCGGGACAGAGTATGTAAATACATTTGAACATAAGATCTTCATTAAACTTCTGTGAGAAATGTTATTCTTGGCAGTTCCTAAGTTCTAGATGTGGGGTTTTCATTTAACATTGCTGATTAAATGAACTGTCCCTTTATGCCTTAGATTTAAGTGTAACAATTTGGGTTTGGGGTTCTTCTATAGGAGGATAAAGATACAGATTCCACCAAAGAGCCTTTGGATGACTTATTTCCCAATGATGAAGATGACCAAGGACAAGGAAGTAAGTGCACTTCAGGTTACAATGTTAGTGTATTTTTGCAATGCAGAATATGAAGATGCTCTTTACAAAAATAAATCCGTGCTTGGGTCCCTCTGGGACACAACAGAGTGGAGAATGCTGCAGTCATTGATATAAATTCTGTACATTGGTATGTATAGAACTGGGGTGTAGGTTTTTTTTAAAGAGAGTTTAGTAGCTGTTTTGAAGCTCTTGGGACTGGCTTCAGTACAGAATTGTCCCACAGTCTTTATTGTGAGCCTCAGAATGGAAAAGATTTGTTCCAAGTGACTGAGACGGATTCTGAACTACTGAATCTCCTGGATGGTCTGCCCAGATGCGGGACACAACAGGGTGGAGAATGCTGCTGCTAGAATAAGTAAACCAGTCATTGATATAAATTCTGTACATTGGTATGTATAGAACTGGGGTGTAGGTTTTTTTTAAAGAGAGTTTAGTAGCTGTTTTGAAGCTCTTGGGACTGGCTTCAGTACAGAATTGTCCCACAGTCTTTATTGTGAGCCTCAGAATGGAAAAGATTTGTTCCAAGTGACTGAGACGGATTCTGAACTACTGAATCTCCTGGATGGTCTGCCCAGATGCTGAATCCTGTTAATGACTTTTTAATGATCTGATTTAACATTTTGGGGCAGATTTCAGTACAAAGTCTTTCTTACATAATGTTTTGTCCTTTGCTAAGATCGTGTTCCTTAGTTTTACTACTCAATCTAGAGATACTGTCTTCAGGTCAGAAGGACTGATGAATGTGCAGTGAATTCTGAGGTAGGGGTATGGTAGTATGGTTGAAAGATGCCATAAATAGGTAAGGCTTGCTTAGTAAAATGTGGTTTTTCATATGGGTATAAAGATGCTATTATATCATGTATTGATATTGCAGTGTGCTCACAATAGAGTAGTTCTTAGCAGACTAATGACTTCAGGAAAAAATGTCTGAAGGGTCCTACCTCTGTAATCAGCAGTTTTGAATTTCCTTCATGGCTACATGCACAAGATGCACTACGTGCTTGGTAGCATGGTAGTGCTGTCCATAGCCAGCAATGGAAGGAAGACTTGAAGAGTTTAAAATAGATTAGTGTTGACTTTGCTGAACTCATCCTTCCTTCCTTTGTAACAGAAATTGAACGGCAAAGCTGTCTATATACCTGCATAGCCCATCTACCTTATTTTGCTATACAGAAGACAAAGTTGATATTTCAGTAATTTCCTTGACCTCCAAAAATATACTGAAATGCTTCAGTGCATTGATAGGCAGTGGTTGGGGTTATAGGCTTGGAATTTTATGATTCCACTGACATAAAAAGGTTCCCTCTTGCTGTGAGAGTGTGTTTTGCTTAACAGAAAGGAGAGAAGAAAGTCAGGCTCACACCAGGAGCCCTTATCTGGTGTGTTGTATAGAATTTAATGAAAATGAGTAAGAGGTGATTTCCTCAGTCTTCCCAGGAAGGAAAGGAGAAAAAGGGTAGTAGATTTTGGGGGGGGAGTGAGGGGATGGGGGTTGCAACAACCGAAGGTTAGGAGCTCCTGAAGGTTGACACTGGCTTAGGTGACTCAGGGGCTTCACTCTTTCAACTGTTATTAGTGGCATCCAAGGTGTTTTAATTCTTTATGTGCCACCCTCAAGTATTCCCTGCTATAGCAATCAAAGGGAAACAAAAAAATTGTGCATGTTTAGAGAAGGAGAAAAAAGGAAAAAGGACAAATAATTTGAGCTTTTTGCAAGTATTTGGCTTGTCTGTGTTAATGTTACTTTCTGTAGAGAGACATCAATATTTATAAGTGCAAAATTATGATATAATCTTAAGAATTGTTGATGATTTGCTGAGCTGAAATATTTTCATACTTTGATTTATTGCATTTGGCCATTTGAACTAAAAGAAGTGTAAAATAATGCAATACTGGACAGAGTATGAAGCGTAAAATAGTCATATTGTCACTGTTCAAGACAGCACAAATGCTGTGAAGTATGTTCTAATACTATGTATGTTCAATATTAATACTATGTATTGAAGAAATAAAATTCAGTGAGTCTTATTTTATGTCACTGAGCATTACTGTTAGATGTTTTAGTTACAGTCTTGAAATCTTTCGGATGTCTTTCAGTTCAACAGCAGCATAGCAGTGCAGCAGCTGCTGCCCAACAAGGAGGCTATGAAATTCCAGCAAGATTAAGGACCCTTCATAATCTCGTCATTCAGTACGCGTCCCAGGGTAGATACGAGGTTGCTGTACCTCTCTGCAAACAAGCTCTGGAAGATCTGGAGAAGACTTCGGGGCATGATCATCCTGATGTTGCCACTATGTTGAACATTCTTGCTTTGGTGTACAGGTTTGTATACTGACATAGATAAATACTGGTTAAATAAATAGTTAGTATTTGGCTACAACCTGTTAATGTTCAGACTAACGTTTTTTGACTGTTGTATTATTTTCCATTTCCTGTTTTTTATTAAAACCCTCAAGAGGGTACTGCAATATTTATATACTCCCTATACTTAAAAATCAGACAAATTGCTGCCTTTTTGCCTCTGCCTTTGTTCTGGGAGTGAAGCTGGTTTTGATACTTGGTTTTTTTTGTTGTTGTCTGCTGAGGGGGCATGTCTTGATAATCCACTTATAGATAATCTAGAGGTATAAATTGGACAGCAGTGTAGAAGTAGTACATGCTAGTCCTCAACCAGCAAACTGCTTTACAATTACAGGCTTCAGGTTTTTACTTCCTGGCTTCCGAATATATTCTCAATTGCTCTTCTTTTATACTAGCATTTGGGCCAGTACTGAAGTTGGCTTCATTTTTATGACTTTTTTTTTTTTTTCTGAATCCTCCCCAGTACTAATTATGGCTCTTTAAAATTTAGAGACCAGAACAAATACAAAGATGCAGCGAATCTCCTGAATGATGCCTTGGCTATCCGTGAAAAGACTTTGGGCAAAGATCATCCAGCGGTTTGTATACATGCAATATCATATTCTTAGTTGTGTTTTTCACTGAATTTTTTTTCAACTCATTCTAATGTTAAACTCAACAGGAATTTTTTAAGACCTGGCTTATCTCTAAACAGGACAGGTAGGAGGCCACGACATAATGTTCTTGTTTTCTCTGAAATATTTAACATACCTTTTTGAGCATTATATTTGGTGCTGTTTCATCACAAATGACTCGCACGTATCTGATTTTGGGTTGCATGGATTTTCTATGGGAAGTTAATTTGGGAAGAAAGATTTTCATGTACTTAAATCACTTTATTAAACTCAGATTGAAGGTGTACTTCTGATTTGTTTTACCTCTGCTTTTGAATGAAACATAAATCAAGCTTTTGTACTTACTGTTTAAAATGAATGTGGTATCTCACTTATGTAGCCTGTGTAAAGCACAGTAGCTCTGAGTGTAGATGTGAGACACATAGCCTGTGTGAAGCACAGTAGCTCTGAGTGTAGATGTGAGAGGTAGTTTTATAAGAGAAGAACGTATGAAGAAAATATATGCACTAGAGGACATTTCCACATATGAAATGTATGAAGAAAATATATGCACTAGAGGACATTTCCACATATGAAGCAAAAGTATTTCATGATTTTGGTTTCTTTTCCTTTCCTCACTTGTATATGTATGCTTTCAGTAATAATTAATTTCTTCATTTGCACATTTTAAGAGGTCTGTCCTGTGCATGGAAAATTTGAAAACATCAATCAATGCATTGCAGATGTGTGTGTTTGTCAGATATTTGTATTGATGAATTCCAGTGTAATTAATATTTCTCTACTGTTGACAGGTGGCAGCAACTCTAAACAATCTTGCAGTACTTTATGGTAAACGAGGAAAGTACAAAGAAGCTGAACCATTGTGTAAGCGAGCTCTGGAAATCAGAGAAAAGGTAGGAGTAAAAGAATACAGCACCTTTGAATGGATTTTTTTGAGGCAGGGGGCAAAATTGAACACTTTCAATTTGTTTGTTTCAGTTGGGTAGATCTGTCAAATAAACCACAGAGTTAGCAATGCACTAGTAGTCAGCAGTGTCTGAAATTCAAACGGGGGCAAAATTGAAAACTTTTACTTTGTTTATGTTTCAGTTGGGTAGATCTGCCAAATAAACCACAGAGTTAGCAATACACTAGTAGTCAGCAGTGTCTGAAATTCAAAACTAGTAAATTACAGAGTTCTATTCTAAATTCTGTACTTTATAGTTAACCTTCTTCACCCTTTTCTTTCCCCTTTGATAGTTATGTAATCTTTGATTTGATAAGTTGATTGTTCTGTGACTGTGGGTATTTATTCTAGTCTGTGAGACTGAATGCCTGCATCTTCAGGCTTCTTTGTTTAATAAGCATTGGAGTTAAAAATGAAACATCATTAAATTTTTTAAAGTTGATTGTTCTGTGACTGTGGGTATTTATTCTAGTCTGTGAGACTGAATGCCTGCATCTTCAGGCTTCTTTGTTTAATAACGTGGCATATAATGTTATTACACTACTTAGATTATTCCTGTTATGAATTGTTCTGCAGTGTTCTCAGTGTGTAATATGAGTAATCTTCATATCTTTCAAATGCAAATTTTGCTTTTGTCATCCTCATGTCAAATTGATGACGAATAAAAACTAATGGGTTATTTCTAACTGATGCATTTCTAAACCCTGATATGATGATTGGAGAATGTTTTAACACAAGGTATTTGATTGATGACGAATAAAAACTAACGGGTTATTTCTAAACCCTGATATGGTGATTGGAGAATGTTTTAACACAAGGTATTTCATTTTCAGGTTCTGGGAAAAGATCACCCTGATGTTGCCAAACAATTAAATAACTTGGCTTTGCTATGCCAGAACCAGGGTAAATATGAGGAGGTTGAATACTACTATCAGAGGGCACTGGAGATTTACCAAACTAAGCTGGGGCCAGATGATCCGAATGTTGCGAAAACGAAGAATAACCTGGTAAGCCTTTTATAAAGTAAATAAAAGAAAAATCAGAATTTCCTGTTGAATTGAAACGCACCTTTATTCAGCATGTATTGTACTTATTATTTACCAAGCTAAATAAAACAGTGTCCTGATATATCTTTGTGGGGGGGTATTTTGTTTTCAGGCATCCTGCTATCTAAAACAGGGCAAATTTAAGCAAGCGGAAACTTTGTATAAAGAGATTCTTACTCGTGCTCATGAACGGGAATTTGGCTCTGTAGATGGTAAGAAACTTAGTCCCTAGATTTGAATATATGTTACATTTTTATGACATTTATTATGAACTAAAATCTGACAGAAGTTAATTGTATCCTGCTAAAAATTGTTGTCTGCTTGAGGTGGGCTTAAAAAGTGAGATTTAGCATTTAGGTACTGCAGTAACATTTGATTTAAAAGGAGAGTTTTTCTTACATGAGGTAGACTCGGTAGGTTTATGCTTTATGGATTATATTTCTGACATAATTTAGCTTATGCCCAACCAGAAAAATGCATGTCACTTTCTACACACAGGAAAAAGTCAGTGCAGGATTTTTAATGACATAATAAATACACTGTTAATGTGAGTCCTCCATTTATACATTTAAAAAATGGGGAAAATACCCTTAATTTATGAATTACACTGTACATTGGAGTCAAATGCATTTTTATCAACTCTAAATCACAGTGAAGAATTTTCATTGCATTCCATGACAGTAGCATATGCACCACTAAACCAATTTTGGTATTTTTATAGAGGCAGAAAAATGGATGTCACTTTCTAGACACAGGAAAAAGTCAGTGCAGGATTTTTAATGACATAATAAATACACTGTTAATGTGAGTCCTCCATTTATACATTTAAAAAATGGGGAAAATACCCTTAATTTATGAATTACACTGTACATTGGAGTCAAATGCATTTTTATCAACTCTAAATCACAGTGAAGAATTTTCATTGCATTCCATGACAGTAGCATATGCACCACTTAGTAGATGTCAAAATGGTTGTTGTGATAAAAGAAATAAACGTGTGTTTTCTAGCATAGAACTAGGCACATGACAAATTGATGGCAGCATGTACTGACTTCAAAGCTTCTCAGAAGTACCTGTTCCTAAGTTTAGATAAGAAGACAGAATTGTAAAGCTGTGAAAGAGGCGCATGTTTTATTTATCTGCTGCTTGTAGTAGGGACAGTAAGGGTTTTTTGTGGTGGTAATAGTACAATTCTCTGGCTCACAGCTTCATTTTGGAAGCATGAAAGTCAAAGAATACTTTGTAGTTTTGTACTGCTATAATATGTTTTCTTCTCTTTCATCAGATGAAAATAAGCCTATTTGGATGCACGCGGAAGAGAGGGAAGAATGCAAAGTAAGGCTGTTGTCATAAATGTTTTTTGGAGCTTTTACTACATAAGTTACAAATCAGTTATTTTTTTTCAATGTTACTTTTCTTGCAGGGAAAGCAAAAAGATGGCACATCTTTTGGAGAATACGGTGGCTGGTACAAAGCTTGCAAAGTTGACAGGTGGGTAGTTTCTTTACAGGACAAAGTAGCAATACCAGGTATCCAGAAATGTCAGATTAAAGCATGTTTAAAAATTAAAACAAACCAGCTTCTTGCTTGGGACTATAAAAACTACAGTATTAAAAATTCAGGCCCCAGGTCTGTGTTTCAGGAGCACAGCAGCTGTTTTTAAGACCTGGGGCTGCTTTTACTCTAGGCTGGTTAGATCTAGTAAGTGACATAACCATTCACCACTTGTGTTCTTGGCAGTCCTTCACGTGGAAGCGTAGGTCACCTCTCTTTCCTTTTATACTGCCTGTTGGCGTACGTGCTCTCCTGGCCCCAGCAAGACCTCTGGAGAAGGCCAGAAGCAAAAAGGAGACACTGCAAATAACTGAGCCTTGAGTTTTTTAGCTGGCACAAGAAATGAAGTTAAACTGCCACAATTCAGCATTCTTTTGAGTTTTTAAAGTGTGAAGATGTGTGAATGAAAACATGTACCTTAAAATGGAAGAAGAGAAGCAAGGACTTAAGCTTGGATTATACTTAGTGAAATATGTATTTTTGTTGCTTTAATTTTGTTCCTTAACTGGCTCTTTTTTACTTTTTTTTTAACATGCAGGTGGTACAATGTAAGAAAAAACCTGCACCTAGTACTGATAATGTTCAGTGAAGGGTTTTTGTTTCTTCAGTGGTTGAATTCTTGTATTTTAACAAGCAACAGAACCTTTGTACTGTTGAAATCTGCTCTTTTTTTTCCTCCATCCTGAACTCTGGGTGCAATAATGTTGTTGGTTTGTGTTTCATGTACATGTTCATTCTAATGCATGAGGAAATCTTTTCTCTGCTGTTACTGGAGCAAAACTTCAAGCGATACCATGACTGAGCTAAATCTCATTGTGTCATTGAAACAAAAATGACTTGTTGGAGTGTGAGACTTGTTAATGGAACGTGCGATGTTTTTTCCCCCCTTTATTATTCAAGTGTATTTTGAATGCAGAGAAGCTGCAAATAGGCACTAAGTAATAGCTGATGAAAGGAACTGGTAATTTGTTTTGTGACTAACACATGCTGCAGCAGTGGTCACTCTGTGCATGAGCAGACCTATTTTCTGGAAGCTTCACAGTTGTTTGGTTGGACACACTCAGATTGAGCTACATTTTGACTTCAATGCATCTGAGAAACACAGGGACATAGCAGTCCAGGCTTCTCTTGAGTAGCTCTAGAGACTGGTTACTAGCTTCCAGTTTCAGGGCTGTTGAATAATCAGTGTGAGCCATTAATGTACTTTGAAAGGGGTTAACAGGTTTTATTTGCTTGTGAATTGAAAAGAGTTTGGTGCATATATGTGTATATATATACATGTATATGTATATATACATGCTTTTTTCTTTTTTCTTTAAATAGTCCAACAGTAACAACTACCTTAAAGAACCTTGGGGCACTTTACAGACGACAGGGCAAATTTGAAGCTGCTGAAACATTAGAAGAGGCAGCAATGAGATCTCGTAAACAGGCAAGTATGAAAATTCACCTTACTGATATTTCTGCATTGTGGTCATGCAGATTTTCAGCTTCAGTACCTACTGTACAAGCAGAATATATAAACTTTTAGCTATTTAGTGTCTGGTGCTTGGTGTTGCCCTCTAATTTCGGTCTGAACTGGTGATAAACCGATACCATCTTAATGTTTGCAAACTGGTTAATTGTTGAAGTGGTGGCACCATGTACCAGTGGCACGATTGAAATTGGGAGTGAAATTATGTGGAAAATGGGAGAGCAGAAAACCCTGTGTTGGGCAGCAATCCTCAACTGGCTGCCTGTCCTGGGAGAGAGACTGTAGCAGGAGGAGAATGGAGAGTTCCTGTTGGTCATCTCCTTTGCCAGTAATGCTGTTCGACTTCTAATAAGGAGCTGTCAAACTTACTAATGCTCTGTTTCTGCACATGAGTGACTGCAGCTGGTGCAGACCTTCAGAAGACTTATAAATTTATCAGTTGCTGTTTCGGGTTCTTTTGCAAACCGGTGGCATGGATGTTACAGTTTAAGGTGGACTATTATTCCTTCCATGTGGAGAAGCTCTGTGCTCCCAAATCTGCTGTTCAAGTATCCCTTTCTCACAGTCTTAGAAAGTGGGAGCGAGTTTGTTTTTGTTGGGGTTTTATTGGCTCTTTGTTTTTCCTTTCCCTTTTGGATGATTTGATGCAATGTCTTTTATAGAAGTACCTAACACTGGACAAGCAAACCTGGCTTGTCAGTCAGTGTTAAAATGGAAAGCAAAATAAGAAAATGTAAGTGAATAGAAAAAAAGCTTGGAAGGTCCAACTTTAATTTTGTTTTTATGCAGTAGTGAATAAGAATTGTATTTTTTGCAGAAGTAGTTTGGGGTTTGTTGTTGGGTTGTTTTTTTTTTTTTTCTATGTCCATGTACAAGTCTAAACTCAAATTCTTCACTGAAATAAACTGACTTAGGTGACGGATTGTATCTCTATTGGTAACGTACTGTTTTTTATTGGTTATACCAATTTGAAGTTGTGTTCTAAAGAATGATACTGCAGTGTTTGATATATACAGAAGCAGATTTCTGGAAAAGGGAGAGCACAAAAACGTTCCTGGCAAACCTTGTGCTCTTCTACTGAATTCAGCAGCAGGTCCCTTTGATATAAGGAGGCCTAAGTTCTTTCTTTGATAAAAAAAGGATGGAAAACTTGTGAGTGTTTGCCAAATCAGTGGAATGAAATTGGTAAGAGGAAAGTATGAATCTGGGAGAGAAGTTCTTCAGCAAAGAAGATTCACGGATGAGGGGGAAATAGCTGATACAGATACCTTTTTCAGAGGATGATTTTCATGTACTTGAAGGTTCATTCTCGGTGTATATCTCAATCAGATGTGATTTAAAGATCAGTAATGAACATACACAGCATCTTAACATACTTGCTTTGGTTCTTATTTTTACTGTTGCCATTACACATGATGATTTTCTAGTGTGAACAGATAAAAACAGGAGAAATAGGCATAATAGAATAGTAATAAGAAGACTGAAAGAAAAATTTAGCTTGTAGTTACATTTGTTTCCGTCTTTCATATATACAAAGAACTTTTCTGCACTATACTGCCATGTGGAAGTGAAAATAGTGATAATTATGTGTTGGTTTTATGCTTCCTTGTGTGTGGAATTCCATTACAGAGGGCTGTTCTGCTCTTCAGGTAGTGGAAAGCAGTTATGTGGGAACCAAGAACCTGATCTCTCCATGCCACTAAAACAACTTTCCTTCTTATCAATGCACTTTGCTTTTAAGTAGAATCTTGGCATGATTTTCACTTTCTGTATTGTGGTAGATTTTATGGATTGGTCACACAAGTCCCCATTTGCTGCTTGCACAGTGAAAGATGCATAATATTTTCCTATTTGTAAGGTGTTTATCTGGCATCTCTTCCTGTCAGCAAATACTGTAGGTTCATTATAAAGAAAACAGAACTGAAAATAAGTATGATTTCACCTTTTGTTACTTTCTCATTTCTGTGTTAAAGATTTTGCCTTTTAGTCCAGAACATAGAAGGTGTTCTAACACTTTTAACATACTTAAAGAATTATTTGGTAATTGGTGAGCATTCTTTAACACAAAGTAAACATATTTTATTGACTACCTATCTAGCTTGTTCTATTATAAGCTTATTTTCTATTTGGCTTCTTTCCAAAGGATAAATTATACTACTGTGCCAAGCATCATATGGCAGTATTTTTAAATAACACAACCTGTGTCTTAGGTATTAGATATCCAGACACCTGCAATGTTCTTTCCAAAGGTGGGTGAATACTGTGCTGTTTGATAGGTGGAGAACTGAGAATTGCATTGGCTGTTAATGACCTATGCATTGCTTAAATACTAAGCTGGTGGCCAAATGGCTTCAGGTAAGTGACACGAACACCATAAAGCTTTGACAAGTGATAGGGAAGGAAGAAAAGAATGGCAAGTTTTTGAATTCTAAAAATGCTGGACTTTCGTCCACTTCATGCTGTGTTGATTCCTGCAACGTATAAAGGGCATCTCATTTTGAGTTACCTTTGAAGGCAGAATCGGGGTAATGGAGTTACGGGTTGACTCCTTTTTTGAGACAGTTATTGTGGTAAGTGGTAGATTAATACAGCTTATAGTGAATAAAACCTTCTCGTTATTTTACCTAATTCTCAGGGTCTTGACAATGTTCATAAACAGAGAGTTGCTGAAGTGCTGAATGACCCTGAGAGCATAGAGAAAAGGCGAAGCCGAGAGAGCCTCAATGTTGATGTGGTAAAGTACGAGAGTGGTCCTGATGGAGGCGAGGAAGTGAGTATGAGCGTAGAATGGAATGGGGTAAGTACAGTACACAGTTTAAGAAAATAGCCTAGAGAAATTATCACCATAACAAAAATGGTTGTCCACTCACCAGCCTATCGTGTTTTCAGTCGTTCATTGGTTGATCAACTTTGTATTTTGTAATTTTGCAGAATTAATTAAGAAATGAAGAGTAACATTCTGTTCTTCATAATATCATGTAAAAAAAAAAGTAATGTTCTAAAATTTTAAAACATCCTTTCTGTTGTTGTCCTGAATGGTGAAATTTCTTCAACAATCCCAAGCAGTTGTATTTAAGTTGTTTAATGCTGATTGAGTGTCCTGGTTTATGGTCTGGTGTACAGTTGCTTGTCAGTGGTTTCTTTTTACTTGTAGAAATATTCTGGCAATTAACTTACGTTGCTTTTGTCCTTTTTATGCCATATTTACCTGCATTTTAAATGTTTATTTAAAAATCCTGCATCTGTTGGAATCACAAAGAACATTTGCTACGGAACGGTATTAAGTGTTAGAAGTTTTGGATAAATTGAAGTGATCAGTCTAACACTAAAATAATTCCAGTCTCCTCCTTACCCAGCTTGTTAAAGAAAAGAACATAACTTTTCAAGCTGCTGTAGAATCTGTTTTAAGAGGCAGTGCCATCACATGATGATGTGATAGTAACTTCACATTTCTTAAGTGAAATTTTAGTATCACTTTCCCATATTAAAATTTGACTGGAGTCAACACTTGTTCCTGTTCATTTCCCATATATTTGCTTCACCTTAAACCACTGATTTTCATAGAGTGAAAACGTATCTAATGTGATTTCTTATGCATTTTTCTAACCATTGTTTTCCTTTATTTGAAAGACAGTGCAAGCTTTCAATTATTGATCTGGCTTATGTAGTTTGCTTCTGTCACCAGCTTTCCCATGCTTTATCCCATTGCAGGCAATGGGATATATATTGCACTGTTAATTAGCTCCCAGTTGCAGTTTTGCTGAAAATATTGTTAGATTATAAAAGTGCTGTCGCCTGCTTTTGCTGTATGGGAGGGGAAGTAGCCTACTTTGCAATAGTGAGTGTTCTGAAGTTTCATTTCTCTCACAATAGCTATCTTTCTTTTTTTTTTCCTTTTTTTTCGCCACATGAGACAACGTTTACCATTCCAAAGAAACCTCGATAAAACATATACTGCTTTAACTTAAAAGAGCATGTTCTTTCTCTCTTTGCTTTTGTCACTTTCCAATTGTTTTCTTGGCATTGGTGTCTCGGTGCCAAGACAGTCAATCAGCATCTAATGTGAATAATACTCCATCATTAATCAAGCCAAAGTAAGGTTGGATAACTCTTTTTTTAATTCTCATTTTGCCCATTCAGCATTAGAACTGTGTACTGTACTCCTCCCTTAATTTTCGCTGTACTTTGCATGACTATATGTTCTAAATAGATTAAACTTTTTTCTGTTACTGACATTAATTAAACAAGCATGCAGGTTTTGAATTGAAAAGGCCTTCTGGAAAAGCAATAGACAGTATTTCTAGGTCAATATTTTAATCAAACTCAGTGATAAAATTTGTTGATCTGAAAACTTTAATTTTGACCTGTCAAGGCAAACAGACTTTTTATTTTTAGTGTGCTGAAGTGGCGTTGCTTTATTCTTATCTTTGTTTTTTCTTGGTTTTCCCCCTTTTAAGAAAAGGTATTTTGTATTACATCCTTTACATGAAGTGGGCAACTCTCTCTCCCTCTACCCTGCTAGTGTTTCTAGCTCAGTGCTGTTCTTCCCTCTTCTTAATATCGTGTGGGTTTTTTTGCCGTCTTGTGTTCCCTCCAGACAAAATATTCTGTTTCATGAAATATTGTAGAATTTTTTTGCTGGGCAGATACTTCTGTGTGCGGAACCTGCGTTTTCCCTTTAGATTCTTCTGAAGTGGTGAAGCTGACTCGTGTTCTCAGCTGTCGGAGGACAGGTGGCACATGAAACAAACTTCAATAAAAAATAAATTATGTTGGAAGATTCACTGTAATTAATTGACTTCCATATGGAATGTAATCGCTATTAAGCATTGTATGCTTTGATATAATGTCTTACATTCTTACAAAAAGAACTGAAATATCTATTGGAGGTAAATCTGTTATTAACTGCTAAAATGAACGTGCTAAGTGAGGTTGTGTAGTGCGTGTTTACATGTGTCATATAATGTCCATCCCTTAAAGTTAATCAAAGATACTTGAAAATGCAAAGGACTACTTTTGTCTTAAAAATTCAAGGTAGAAATCCCAAGATTTTTATCCCTTATTATGTTTGTGTATTAAAAATGACAGTGGGTATCTGGAACTGGCATTTTTGTAGCTTGATCTTACAGCCAGTTGGGGGACAGATAAAAATCTTCCTAGTATGATAGTGTTTAGCTTAAGATCATATTTTTAGTGTGAAGAAGTAACTTTTATTATTCTAAACCATATGCTTCAAAAAGACAGGCTTTTGGGTACATCAGTCTGCTTTCAGGTGTGGAAAAAAAGCAATAAATTTCATTGGCTGGTGAGAGTTGCCCTTGTTTAATAAGAAGGGCCAGGCAGAGCAGCGTTGCAGCAGGCAGATGCAGAGCACAGGAGATGGTGATGGTTGGGAGATGTAAGCAAAATAATAATAAGGTGATTCTCGTTCTGAGTGATATAAAAATTGGCTATTAATCTTTGCCATAGAAATGGATATCTCTGATTTTTATTTTTTTTGTTTGTTTGCACTGGATTTATAAATTAATTTTTTTATTTGTCCTAATCTCATGTGTTAAATGTGTTTTGTTAATCATGCGGTCAGTATTTAACTTGGAAGTTCAATGTTTTTATTTCAGACTTGAAGTGCCCAAAAGCTTTTCTGCTTATTCCTAATGTGGTAGTTAGCATAATAAAAGTTATACTCTATATTTATCAAATTGGTCTTGCCTTTGTTCATTAGATCGTTATCGCTACTAGAGCATCACTGGTTTAAGACCATAAGAATAATTAGCCTTTTTACTCATCTAATACTTCTAATTGGAATTTAAACTTCAATTCATTCATTCCTGCAAAGCTGAAGTTCATGTCACTTTTAAAAGTGTGAACAATATATGCAATTTAGTTTGAAACAAATACTCTGTTAGATTTCGATCTTTTAATCACTTGGTAGCAAGGCATTTTGCCATTTGCAAGAATAATTTTAATTACTGTTCATTCTAGTTGCTACACATAAAAGCTCTGAAAATGGTTATCTTAATACTATCAGTAATGGTTTTTATACTTAACACTGAGAATGGAAAGCACGTAAATTGAACCACAGTTTATATTTAAAGGTGGATTCTACCAGCTGCCTCACTGCATTAGGGAAAGTAAAGAAGTTTGGATAATCTATACGCACACAGATATGTTTTAAAAAACACTGAGGAATGCACAGAATTTTGTCTGGAGGTTGGGGGAAGACCTCTTTCTTCTTGCTGTTTCGTTTCGAGGCAAATTCCTGACAGAAGTTAAAGCTGAAATGAATGCACCTTGCTCTGTTCCTTTCTTTTGTTTTTTTTTTTTTTCCTTTATTTTTATTTTTGTCCTTGTGTCAGCTGAAAAAAAATTCTTTGTTTACAAAATGTAATATGAAAGCTATCCCTCCTGGAAGGTGTTTTGTATTTTACACAAATGCTAACTTAAAGAATGCACAGCATCGTTCACGCTCGTTTATAAGTTGCATATTAATGATGCAGGCGAAATTGTATAAAGAAGTATGTTGTGGTAATTGCAAGGGCCTGCACTTCGTACTTAAGGGCAGTCCAAGTACTTACTCCAGAAAAAAAAAATACTGTTTTGAATGTGACCTAGAAATACTGTAAAGATAACTGTTCAAAATTGAAAACTGTTGACTTTTTCCCAACAGTTTCATTCAGTTTTTCTCTCTCCGTTTCTGACAGGCCTAGATGCCTTTTGTGATTCTTATACTGTCTCCTGCATGACGGGCGTGCACCATCTTCAAGCTTTAACTTCTCTCTTCAGTACTGACTGCTGTGTCTTAGCAAACCCCTTACGATTCTTGTCAGAGCTACACTTCCCTGTAAACTGGCCATTCCTTCAGTGCTGGTGTCCTCTTTTTTTTTTCTTCTTTTTTTTTGGGGGGGGTTTTCTATTTCTGTACCCGTGTAGCTTTGCCAGATATGTATCTAGTCATACAAAATGTTATTACAACCATTTGCTGTGTAATACATTAGAGAAAAAAAAAAAAGTAACGATGAACTTTATAAGTAGCTGTTCACTATGGAAAAAAGGTAGTTAAAAGTATCACACAAGGTATTATTGAAATGGCATGATGGTGATCTTTACAGGAGAAAAACAAAACAAAACCCGTAACAGTAAGGCATGTTCTCCAAGTGCTTTAAAATGTATTTAGAGACCTATTACATGGTTAACATCAATATGGAACTCTGGATGTCTTCACTTATGATTATTCTAAAGTAGCATTGCTGTTTAGTCTTTGTGTGAGATTTTAGCAATTATGCTTTTCGCTACTAATCTTGGTGTTCAGTGATTTGTGTATTTGTCTTTCTAACTTCTAATAAACTCACTCCAACTCAGGTGTCTGTCTTTGTCTGCTTAGTAATACTTTACTTTCTTCTTTCACAATTCTTCTTTCTTAATCACGTAGGATTTCTCTGAAGTAGGAAGTGGTCACTTCTAATCTTACTAAATTGTTGGGTTATTGGTTGGTTTGTTTTTTTTTTTAAAGAGTAAAACATTTCAAAACTGGAATTGTGGTCAGCAGTGTAAGACATGAGTGCAATGTATGAAAAATTCATTTCATCATGTTTTACGTTTTCTTTGGTGAGAGTTAAAATGAAGCATAGGAATTTAACCATACAGGTTCACGATCAGAAATATTTCTAAGGGTTTTAGGATTAAACAAACGTGTTTGCAAGGAATGTAGATGTTTAGAAAAAATAAAACTTTTTTTTTTCTTAGGCTGATGAAATACTTTTGCTTGGGGCTTGTACTCTGTTAACCACATTGCGCTCGTATGAAATGGTAACATGGTGATGGTGAATTGTTTGACTTCTGTGGTGGGCTTTTATTAATTATTACGAACCATGGCTTGAGCATGTCTTCACGTTTTAGAAATTTTTGTTACAGTTTGGAAGGAACCCTTTGGTTTTGGTAACGTTATAGCTACATGATGTGTTTAGGTAATTGTATCAAGTATATATTAATAGCGATTTAAAATAACTTTTTCACCAATGAAATGGTTTTGTGCCAGGTTTGGGGGAGGGCAACAAACTCTTGCACTTTCACATTTGCTTAATTTTTTTCAGGATGGCACTGGATCTTTAAAGCGCAGTGGTTCCTTTAGCAAACTTCGTGCTTCCATTAGACGCAGCAGTGAGAAGCTGGTTAGAAAGCTGAAGGGAGGAAGTTCACGAGACAGTGAACCAAAGAATCCAGGGTAATTATCTACTCTTAGCTGTGCTGGTGTGCCCTCCTCCTGTGCCCTCGCTGTAGCCTAGTGCAGTACCTGGGGCAGTGCTTCTTCCCTTTCTACTGCTTTAGCCACTTGAAGAATAGAAAAACCTCATAACTAATATTTATCAATAATTCTACCTGCCAAATTCTCTTTTTCACACAGCAGTGAAGAATAATGAATACTACTGACTTTACATTACAAGTTTGAAGGCAGTAAACCCACAACTAACATTCTTGGTATAGCTTAATATTCTTGATATAGCTTTATATATTGCTTTGGGAAAGAGTTACAGACTTGAGCCCTTCTCAGTTTCTATTTTAGGAAAACCCAGATTTCAGAGAGCAGAGGAAAATGTTGAAAAACTTCAGCCTAGTTGTGCATTTCATTAACATTTCAGCCTCAGTGAAGTCTGTGGTAAAAATTCAAGTTTTAAGGAAAACTTGACCTCTCCCTCTTTCCTAGTTACCATATGATTAGGGATTTGGATGAATGTAATATTTCTAATAAATGCATAAAAACATTCATCACTTATTGGCTGCTGCAGAGAATTTGAAATGTTAAAATATACTTTGTCTTCAGTATTAGCATTTTTATACACTGATTTTCTGTTGTTCAGCTCTGTCTAGAATTCATAGATCATAGTTCGGGTATATTCTTGCATGAGTAGATGCATATATTCATAGCTAATTTTGCAATTTCTCCTCATTTTTGAGAGACATGGAAAGGTTTTCAGTTTCTTAAAAGCCAAGAGTTTTATTCCTCCTTCTCTGTAGTAAATAGAGCTAATTTTTTCTGCAGGTAAAGTATCTCCATGATTATAGATATAAAAAATGCTGCTTATGTGTAATTGAGGATGTTTGGCTTTGCAGTGTCCTGTAGGAACTCCTCTGCCTATTTATTGTCTGCACTTGGTAGTGTTATTTGACTAAGGTAGAAGTAATCTACCCACATTGATGTTAATTATATTCTGGGGTCTGTATCACAAGATAAGAATTCCTCAAATAAATACATAAATGTGAAACAAATCTGGAAAAAAACCAATATCTTTCTTGCTTTCCCTTTTTGACAAAATATTCTTGGTTTTTAGGTGTCACTGTAGTTCTTAAAGAACAATTTATTTTTGAATCTTGCAATAAGTGTATTGCATTGAGAGGCATTTATGTAGATATGTACCTTGAGTGTGTGAGACAATGAATATTACAGTTTCTGTTCTTGTAGGATATAGACCTTTTATTAAGCCTTATTTATATTTGCATCTGTTATTAAACCCAGCTAAGATCCCTGGTATTAACCACCAGCCTCGTAGATCATGAAGCATAGCTGTACATACTGATATTCCAAAAAGTCACTTCGATTTCATTTTATGAAGAAACTTTAGTAAATAGAGTTAATCTTTTTGTTTCAGAGTTTAATAAAAGGGATACTCAGTTCTTATTATGCAAACCTTTGTTTTCTAGTGCGTTTGATAGCTGAGTATTGCAATACTGACATAGCACACATATAAATCACTTCTCTGAAGTCAGCTGCTGTAGGTAGAAGGCTTTCGTGCCTCCCTCCTTTCCCGTCCACCTCTGCATTCCCTGCCTGTGTCTCTCTGAAGACTTTATTCTGAAGTTCATTTACCCCCGTTGCTTATACTCTGCTTCTGTAAATAGTAACTGACGGTGCTGGTGTGACTCTGAATGAGAAATACTCGGATAGAAGTACATTAATATCACAGCATGAAAGACAGACTTGGTTTTCATGTTGTGGCTTGATATGGAAGGTCGAGGAGAATAAAGTGGAAAACTCATCAGGGAAATTGTTTCTTTAAAATCATAGAGAAGCCTTTTTGACAAAGAACAAATCTCATAAAAACTGTTCTTTGAAATATACAATACCTGAAGCATGGTATCAGTTCTTTCATTCTTTATTGTATTTCAGAATTCAGTTCTGTAATAATTCAACTTTGCTAAATTAGTGTTAGGTTTGATTTATTTCACTGTAAAAATTTTGATCATACAGCAGAACAATTAAGATTTCTAATTCAAAAGGAAAAAAACCCCACCCCTTTCATTATTGCTATCACTTACGCATCAGAAAAACACTTGCATGCTCTTTGTGCAATCCTGTTTCTAACATGGAGGGAATTAAAAGTGCATTTGCCAGAATAAAGTTCTTAAGTATGTTGATTTCAAACAATCCAAAACCCAACCCACACACAAACTAGTGTCTCAGGTGTGATTAAAAATTATTTATTTTTTTTTTAATTGGCACTTCAGCAAGAACCTAAAAGTATGTGTGTAAATTTTTACTGGTGGATGTTCTATTTCCCTGGAATGTTTTCCATAAACCTTTATGCTCTTCTGGAGAGTTTTATGCAATGTTTTGTTTGTGTTTTACAGATTAACTTACTTTGACTTCCACATATAACCTCTGTTGTACGTGTTTCCTTGAATAAATGAGAGGTGTATACCGTGCATGAGTCCTTGCTTTGTTGTCGCTAACACTCATGTCAAATATTTACAATCACGTGCATTCTGGCTTTCCAAACGCTGAGATTTAATGTTAGGAAAACCCAGCTTGTATTAATGTGGCAGCTGCCGCCTGCGTTCGTTAGTGGGTTGGTTCGTTATTCTTCTGAGCCTTTGCTTTGTGAAAGCATTTAAAACTCGTGCTTGACTTTGACTGTTAGTAGTCTTGCTTCAGTAGAAAGAAAAAACTGGTTGACACCCGCTGTGAGCTGTTTGGATAAACCTTTGCAGTGGTGCTGCAGGGTTAGGGCATCGCTGTCTTGGGAATAGTTCATCAAGGATGTGTTCAAAGCCCTTATTTAGCAGTTTTGCAATAGCTGAAGAGCTGGGGAAAAATCAAAGGTGGCGTAGTACATTCTAAGTGATGTACGGACAGCGTGGGGTACAGCACATCAGACAACCCTCTTGTCACCATGGTGATAGAAAGCTTAAGGCTAATCTTAAATTTCATTCCACACACTTTATTTTTTTGTTAAATGTTGTGTATGTTTGAGAAATGTAGGTAAATTATTAATCCTCATCTCAAACAGCCGTAGGTATTACAGTGAATGCAGTGATATTTTGACTGTCAGTAGCTCCTGTGTAGGTGATTCATTTTTTTTTTCCCCATTTGTTGTTTTCAGTACAGTGTTCTAGGGTTGTTGTTACCACTGCTCAGAGTGTTGTAAAGCCAAAAGCACAACCAAAGTTAATAGCAGCAACCATCTTGGTTTCCCTTACTTTGAAATGTTTAAAATAATAGATATTAAAATGTTTTTTGAAATTTTATTCTGAAGATCTACATGAATGAGGCAGAAAGTACTAAACTAATGTTTGTTGTATCTTTTCCAAGTGCTGCCTACGTGACAAACTCATGTTTCACATTTTTTCCTAAACTGTTTGATGCTTTTTGTAAGAAGCTGCATAAAATTGAAACTGAGAATTAGTTTATTAAAAATCAATGCTAAGTCAGTGTATGAATTTGACATGCTTTAAAAATTGAGTTTTTATTTTGACTTGAAATTAAATCAATTGCCTGAAATGTTTAAGCTCTGAGGAGCCTGTAGTTTTTTTGGTGATATATGCAATTTAGAACTGAATATAGAAATATTCTAAGTTACGTAGTTAATTCAGATCAGTTTGGGGGCATTGTTCAAACTCCCTTAACTGTGCATTGCTCGTTGTTATACTTGTGTTTTTAGAGCTGTTAGTTTTCAGCTATTCTGATCGGTTTATCCTTGCATGTTCACTGTCCTGGTTGCAGCATGAAGCGTGCCAGTTCTCTGAATGTTCTTAACATGGGTGGCAAGGCTACTGAAGATCATTTTCAAGTAAGAAGCCCTACAATACAATACTCTTACAAAAATAGATATTATTAGTAGGGTTTGGGATAAATAGAGGATGATAAATAATAAAGCAAGAAACTCCTAGTGATCAGTAAGATCCTGCCTCAGTAAGGTGTTTAAAGCATATGCTTAAGGCATCGTTCCATAGCACTTTTGTGAATTATGCTTAATTTTAAGCAAGTGTTTAAGTCCAACCAGTAAAGAGCAATGGCTTTTATAAGCAGTTTCTGGCTTTGGACCTTCTGATTATTACAGTTGATACGAAACTTCTAGATTCTTAC